AAAAATCAATTGTGCAATGAACCGCATTCCAAATGAGATTATTAGTTGAAAAGCAATGTTAAAAATTGTAAACGTAAAGGAAAAAATCGTAGTGCAAAATGGCATAAAAAAAATTGACAAAAACCAAGTATTTCAAATTAAAATAACATTTTCGCGAAAAACTCAAAAATCATAAGTGTTAGAAAGCAAAAATCATTTCAGTAGGGAAAAAAACATTTAATTCATTGCACAAAGCTGATTTAAAAAATTTACAAAAAAGCTACATAAAGATGTTGGAAAAAAAAATAAAATCAAAAATACGTTTCAATGATATATCTCTAATCTAAAACATTTTCAACTGAAACTACCTACTTTCTGGTAAAACTACACAACAAATCTTTCGTTTTTATTTATTTTTAATTGAGGTAAACCAATCCTCGAACCCTCGCTAAATTAGCCCCGTAAACCAAGTCAATCCTTATCCCAGTCTGTACTAGCGAAAACATCCAAACGTTCAGCTATTGATCTATGAAAATCCTCATTACGAGATGGCCGGACCTGAGCTACGTATTGCAAGAGCTCGTGAGATATTTGGGACTTACGGTAATCGGCGTCCTTGTGCTGCACTGCGTTGTGTAAGCCCAACGCTAGGTACGTGTGGTATTTGACGTAGTCGTTCTCGAGTTGGTCCATCACTTTGCCAATGAAAGCCAGGGACTCGGGTTTCCATCTTTTGTGCACCTCTTCGCACATTTCCAGTAGCTGAAACAAAAAAATCACGGAAGATAATAGGAGAAAAAAGTATTATTTTAAATTGTTTAGGAAATTATTGTTCTTTGTCCATGAAGATGAAACGTAAAAATTAATACTATTATAATTAACGACGTGCTCTCAGTGTCGCTTCAGCAAACTTAATTTTGAAAAACATGAAATTGAAGGGAAGTATAATTTGATGTCATCAAATACCTTGTGGATCGTAAGAGTCAAATCGTCAAATTTTCCTGTCAGAAGACAGTGCTCGTGTACATTATCCAAGTACTCACTGTGAACTGTAAATAAATGTTACTCAGTATTTTATTTCACTAACATGTCTATCAAAAGCAACAAAAAATTGCTTTTGTTTGGCCATAAGAATTTGAATTCTAATTTAAATCGATATGGTATAAAAAAAAATTAGAGCAATAGAAAAAAAGTACTTGTAATGATGGCCTCCAAATTGTCAGCTTGAGACAAGGCTTTTTCAAATTCAGCACCCAAGCCGAGTAAAACTTGACCCGATAGGTACGCATGTATCGAGCCAATAGCGTGCAGCAGCCAAAACCGCAAAGTCTCGAGCCGCTTGATGTGAAAGCGTTGTGTGGCATCCGGAGTTGTAGCGTCAACCGAACCTTCTAAAGCTACAAGATACAGATACAACTGAGTAACTGAAAACAAGCAAAGCTCGCAAAAAAATGTCGACTCACTGGAAAATCTAAGCGTATGAAGCGTCCACAGAGCCCATTTGAGCTTCAGCTCGAATTTAAAGATCTTGTTGTACTTGTCGATGGCTTCCTCGTTGAGTAACATGTTTATCGGCCAGCCGGCGGCGTAATGTAGTTTAGTGCTATTCACAGCCTCGAGGACTTTGGTAGTTCTGATGTTGCCGATCGTTATGGACCACCGTGAGCTCGATTCTGGCCATTCTTGTGAAAGTATCTCTTCCAACAAACACGCCACAGTGTAAGCGTTGTTCCACATACCGTTGGATTCGATCTGAGAAAAAAATGTGTTGCAAGTAGAATTTATTTCAATACAATTATATTTAATCAAGCGCGCACGCACCTCCGTGAAAATCAGTTTGCAGAACTTGTTCATAACGTGGCTGGTCTCCATCATAAAGACCGACCTCATCAGTTTGAGCTGTCCCTCCAGCTTGTACTCCTTCATCAGGATATCCTTGACGAGTTTACTTGCACCACTGAACTTCGAATCTAAAACTTTCGACACGGCACACTCGAAAATTCTACTCCAAGGTAACGCTGTGTTCGACTTTTTCAAGAACTCAAAGGTTTTCGACTCCTCGCGTTCCCTACCGCGATCTCCAGATCTCGAGTCGACGCTGTCCACGTCCACAAACACAAAGTTTTCTAGGGCTTTGGCGAGAAAAGGATTGTTTGTCGTGGAAACTTGTTGCGTTATATTGTACTGGAGTTCCAGGTCATGTGGCGCAATTGGTCTTGGGATTTCGATTATTTGTAAGGACGCGTGGTCCGTCGAGTCGGTGCAAACTGTTGGTTCGTACTTGGAGCATGCCGATAGTATTTCTCTCAGACACTCTGAATGTAGCGTTTCTTTGGAAACTGATGGGAAAATTTTCATAATTTTTAAAAATGTTTCTTCATTCCCGTGACACGGGCTACCATGAAAAATATCAAATTACCCTTTTCTCTGTCCATCATGGCCCAGAAGTCGGAAATACGATCCAAAGTGACTAAAAGCTCGACGCTACGTCCTATTTGATAGACTTTGTGGAGTAAGATTTTCATCACAGGATCTTTCAAGCACAAGGGATCCAGTTCTCGAAATGCATACCCTTCCAATGGTCTACAATCTTCCCTGGTACTACTTTCGACCGATCTGTGAAAATTCAGCTGCTAAGTACAAAGAAACCAATGTATTTTTCAATAAAAGTATACTCACTCCAAGCACTTAACAATGATAAATTCATCCCTCCAATCTTCTAATCTCCCTTCGCTCAACCAAACATCAATAATATTAAGGTATACAGAGAGACTGGCCAAGTAAAAGTTTGCGCACAAATTTATCATTTCTATGATACATGAATTTTGTATTTTGAAGTATAGCTTTGACAGTAGTTTAGAAGCGCACTGCCAGTTGGACAATTTCTCCCAGTCGTCAATGACGCTCTTATGAATTTCGAAAATTATTTTTATCCTGTCCGTGCACTTTTTCAAGACTTTTGAAGCCGAGAGAAACGTACTCGGATCATCTAAAATAATTTGTCATTAATTAATTACAAAATTATACTCTGATGTGCAACAAAACGTGTTGAATGGAAATTACTCTGTTTCATGACTTCTGTTTCAAAATCGACAAGTTTTTTTTTAATGCTCAAAATTTCGTGCTGCAAAGTGGCCGCGTAAGCTTCGTAAGTCAATGGTGGTCTCCGACTTGATTTTGAAGTATCATTTCGTACAAACAAGTTTTCGAGAAAAGTTTCCATTTCTCGCATCATAGTTATGTACTCACAATACGAGGACAAAACACTTTTGAAGGCCACCTGAACGATAACCATGAAAAATAATCAATTTTTGTTAGCAAACAAATGGAATTTTTATCTTACCGTGGTGAGACTTGGTATCGATACGTCGCGAATAACGAACCCTTTTTCTTTTTCTTCTTGAAATACAGCCATGTCACTATGTACATGAAACATCCACAACAGTTCTCTCAGAGCCTGATATTCGCTCAGAGTTCCAATGATTTCGTGACTTTTTTTCGTATTCTTTCTCCAGAATTCCAGTAGATGAGCGTCTTCAAATCGACTGTCAACTTTGTACTGGCGCCAGTCTAACTCATTCCACCATGTGTTTTGAATGTTCTTTTCCAGCCAGTTTGTAGGGACTACGTCTTGTGACGTTACACTTTTTGGAATTTCTTCCGGTACGGTAGCCAGAATCCCTGTTTCACGTGGCACAGCATTTCTGCTAGGAGTGGACGCTTTTTGTTGATTATGCACAGACAAGTCTGCTTGGCAATCATTCTCATCTTCGGACCAGTCCTAAAGTTAATGTCTTTTTAGTAATATTATATTGTATAGGGAAAAATATTGTGATTATTTTCAAAACAAATTCTCACGCTGTCACTGTTGCTCTCGTAGTTACAGAAAAACTCCTGTTCTCCTTCTTTCAAGTATTCAGCCCAGTCAATCTCTTCAGACTTGTCATCCTCAGTAGCTACAGATGCATTGTTACTCCTATCCCTGCTCAACGAATGACTAGCACTTATTTGAGAGTTACAGGTTTCACTAGCTAAATTAAACAACAGAGACAACAAGGACCACTGCACGTCACACTGGGGATGCCTCTCGGAGTCAAAGCTATTGAGGAAAGTCTGGACGAGATCCTGGAACTCCTTGGCAACGTCGTACTTGCCATGTATGAGGAATTTTTGAATTATCTCGTCGATTTCTTTTTTAACTGCATGACTGTTAACCGACAAATAACGATGGTGCTTTACTTGTGACAAAGCGAAACGCTCCGAGATCTGAAAACCTTCCTCACCTTCCTGTATAAAAAAACAAGAACTCTTAGAAAATTCTGTAAAAAAATTACAGGCTAAAGTTAATATAAAATCAACTTACTTCAAAACCAGTGATTGCAGTGATCAGGAGTTTCAGATCTTTATGAATATCATTCAGCGTTTTTGTCCCCATTTTTCTATTTTTTTTAACATCACGTTTACGTTTCTGATATGTATACACAAGAAAATAAAAACTGATATATTTACATAAAGTACTATAATATATGATTACTATATGTATTATATATCTATACCAACATTTGTCTTACGGTATCGTCTGCTAAATCTGCTTCTGCTACACACACGACACACATGCACACAAATATATATACCTAAGTTATAATATCCCTAAATCCCTATTATCCCCGCGTCCTCATAACGTTTGTTCAACTTAAAGAAATAACATAATAATTGGAAAATATGTGTCTTTTGAGGTAAAGTAAAGGACCCACGACCCACTCCATCATTTGGTTATATCGACAACGGATGGACATTGCAGCATTGTAAATGCTGAATTGATAGTGTAACTGAATCTCCGACCGCGTGGCGGCATGATTCGCTCCCGCACGTGGCGAAAAAAGTGTTTGGTTAGTATATATAGACCAAATTTTCAGCAGTAGTTCAGAGATGTGTGCTCACTGGCTCATGACGAAAGTCTACAGTCACCCACGTAGTAGTGGTGGGACTCGGTTTGAATAGTTTGCTACGTTGTAGTAGCTCACCGATCCGTACCTACAGGTAAGTGAGGTAAGTGAGGTAAGTAGGACGTGGTGAATGACTTGCTGGTGCGCACATATTTTTTTGTCTTTATATTTACATTACCAGTGTCCTGCTTTATTATTAGCGTTTTTACAAACCAAACACTTCTCTTTTTTTTTAATTCTTCTTTTAAAAGGTAAAAATTCTGAGAAATCAAGTAAAACATACGTCCGCTGCTTTAACTTAAAATAATTTTCCAACATTAATCAACTCACATATTGTAATCTGTCCAATTATTATTAAATTTTTTTTTTTTTAGTTTAAACTGCCATTCACATATCGACGCCCCGGGCGACGAAGACTGCCCTGCTTCGAAGCCTGGACGAAGACTATGCCTTTTTCCGCAGTCCGGACGAAAACTATGCCCTTTTGTCTGTTCCAAACGAAAACTATGCCCTTTTGGAGTCCTGGACGAAAACTATGCCCTTTTGGAGTCCTGGACGAAGACTATGCCCTTTTCCGGAGTCCGGACGAAAACTATGCCCTTTTGTCTGTTCCAAACGAAAACTATGCCCTTTTGGAGTCCTGGACGAAAACTATGCCCTTTTGGAGTCCTGGACGAAGACTATGCCCTTTTCCGGAGTCCGGACGAAAACTATGCCCTTTTGTCTGTTCCAAACGAAAACTATGCCCTTTTGGAGTCCTGGACGAAAACTATGCCCTTTTGGAGTCCTGGACGAAGACTATGCCCTTTTCCGGAGTCCGGACGAAAACTATGCCCTTTTGTCTGTTCCAAACGAAAACTATGCCCTTTTGGAGTCCTGGACGAAAACTATGCCCTTTTGGAGTCCTGGACGAAGACTATGCCCTTTTCCGGAGTCCGGACGAAAACTATGCCCTTTTGTCTGTTCCAAACGAAAACTATGCCCTTTTGGAGTCCTGGACGAAAACTATGCCCTTTTGGAGTCCTGGACGAAGACTATGCCCTTTTCCGGAGTCCGGACGAAAACTATGCCCTTTTGTCTGTTCCAAACGAAAACTATGCCCTTTTGGAGTCCTGGACGAAAACTATGCCCTTTTGGAGTCCTGGACGAAGACTATGCCCTTTTCCGGAGTCCGGACGAAAACTATGCCCTTTTGTTTGTTCCAGACGAAAACTATACCCTTTTCTCGCGCTCGGACGAAAACTATGCCCTTTTCTGGCGCTCGGACGAAAACTATGCCCTTTTGGAGTCCCGGACGAAAACTATGCCCTTTTGGAGTCCCGGATGAAAACTATGCCCTTTTGGAGTCCCGGACGAAGACTATGCCCTTTTCTGGCGCTCGGACGAAAACTATGCCCTTTTGTCTGTTCCAGACGAAAACTATGCCCTTTTCTCGCGCTCGGACGAAAACTATGCCCTTTTCTCGAGTCCGGACGAAAACTATGCCCTTTTTTTCTAGTCCGCGTGAAGACTATTACATTTTTTATGAGTCTGGACGAAGATATTGACTTTTTCTGGAGCCCGGATAAAGTACAATTCATTTAAGCTCACCTAACATTTGTGTTTGTAATTAGATGTATAGTCAAATATAGTTATATAGTGGTTGTTGTTTACATTTATATAAAATAATTGTAAATAATAATACACCATTATAAAATAATAATACAAACTCAGGAATGTTTTTATGAGCATGGTAATTTGCAATTAATGAATATGAAAGACTCGTTTATGTTTTATTTTAAAATTTATTATTTTTTCTAC